CAGCAACAACAAACCCAAACTCTCTATTTCAATCACACTAACTCATATAGCTCTCTCTTTACTGTCAAAGAGCTAGAACACGATGTAGACTAGAAAACAGGTTCATGAGGAGCTTAGTAGTTGTTTTTGTAATTAAGGTATGTATGATCTTTTAAGAGTATGGGGATTCTGGCATGTGAGCTGGTGTATAGATAAGTCTAGGCTATTGCATGAGAAGTAGGTAGGGGTATAATAAATTTTGGGTAAGATGAAGTAAAAGTAGTAGCATGTTGGTAAGTTATTGAGAAGGTTTTTGACTCTGAAAGCTTTTATTTAGTTTAGTTTGGAGATATAATGTTTGTGATAACTTTTTGGCTATTATTGATAAAATGCCAGGTAGAGTTCCAATTGGTTGCTGATATATAGCTTTCCTATTTTGTATTATGTCTCTGGGAAGACTAGCTTGTGCTCTGTTAAGAGTTTTAATGAATTGTCTTGTGGGTTTTTCTACATAGTGTTCTAGCTATTTGATAGTAAAGAGAGAGCTATATGAGTTAGTGTGATTGAAATAGAGAGTTTGGGTTTGTTGTTGCTGGTGTTTTTTGGCTAGCAAATCTGCAGTGTTATTGAAGTGGTTGTTTGCATATACAAAGACTTTGTGAAAGGTAATCTAGACATTAAAAGCCTTGATGGCATTAAGAATTAAGTACCAGATAGGCATTAATTAAACTTGAAGTATTTAGTAGATCTGGTGGAAGAGTTTATTATATTTAGCAATAATTGATTGGGAGTCTGTAAAAATATCTACTCTGGTGTTCTGAGGCAGAGTAGAAACAGCTAATAGAATTGCTATAAGCTCAGCTTAGTATAAGAAAGCCCACTCTGTGATTTTTGCAGAGAAGCTATTAATAATTTGATTGTTAAAAATTTGTACCCAACCCACTCCTATAGAGCGGTTGCTAGTACCAATATCTGATATAGATCCATTAGTATAGAAGGTAAATGTTTGCATGTTGTAGTTGCTGAGAGTGAATTGTACTAGTTGTTGACTTGCTTCACTATCATGAAACAGGCTAAGAGCTAGGAAGTCTGTAATATTTATGTTGGGTAGAGGTGGGATTGTGATAAGATGTTTGATAGCTGTGGAGTGTAGGAGATCAATATAATTGGCATTAAGTTTAAGCTATTTATTGTGTGTTTTTCTTCTGAGGAACTGTGTAGACAAAATATTTGAGATCTCAATAGTACAATAATTAGGAAGTCAATTGGAGTTAAGGTTGCAGCCTAAGCATGAAGTATATATAATGGTAGAAGTGGATATAGTAAATAGTGTTGTAGGTTTATATTATATTGCCAGTGTGTAATAGATATTGAGTTAGTTTGTTTAAACTTTTTCTTTATCTGTTTTATAATAATCTGGTCTTGGTGATACATAAGTAGCTATGGCTTTAGTTTTTTAAGAATAGTACTAGATTGGTATGCAAATGGGTTGGTACCAGGTAGACAAAATTGTGAAAGTATAGTTTGTGAGCTAAGATTATTAAGAACTGTAGTTTCTAGAAGAGAAAACTATAAAGGCTTTTTTTCTTTGGGAAGGTATTGTAATCTTGGGAGATATGTTGCCATTCTAGCAGATGTTTATTGTCTGCTAAGCTGAGCTGTTCTAAGTAAAGAATATGCTTGCATTTGAATATTTTATAGTTGGCATCTCTGGATAGTATGGACTTAAGAGATGAGTTGCTATCATGGATTGTTTGTGGCCAGGCTATATTGGGGTTTGCTACTATGCTTATACTCACTTGTCAGAGCAATTAGATAAGTTTGCAGGTAGTAGTGTGCTTGTTAGATTTACTAATGTGGCGCAGAGAGTGTTAAAGTAAGCTAGTAGTTGATTAGAGATTATTTTGTAGTTGCTGAAGTCTTATATAAGTTGTAGTTCTGAGAGTAGAGTTGTTGTTAATTTTTAAAAGAAAGTTGTTAGTATGGTGCTGGAGCTGTATTTCACAGATATTGTAAATATTGTATATATTGTGGTTGAGCATTGTGCTATTGGGTGTAGACCAGAAGAGGTTGACCTTGTGCTTAGCTATTGTAAGGTACATCTCTAGAATTTTTAGGCATGTTGATTGTGGTATGACAATGTTGTGAATTCTGTATTCAATAGTAGGAATTATTACAGTATTAATAATATAGGTTATTTGTTTGTTCATTATCTTCTTGGTGTTGGCTATGTATGCGAGATTAAGAGCCTCTTCTTGAATAAGTTTAATTTGTTTAGATTGTTTGTTGTCTAGTGTAAACTAGTATTCTAAGAATTTGAATAACTAATTAAGGGGAATTGAAGCAAGGCTAGTTTGCAGAAAAGAGATATTTGTAGCTAGTTGGTTTGATATGAAGACTTACTTGAAAAGTTAATTTGGATATTAGCTATTTTACAGAAGGATAAGATAGTATATATTATTTTTTCAAGATCTTTTTTGATTTGGGCTATCCAGAGAGTATCATCCATGTAAGCAAGAATAGATATTAAAATCTTGCAATTAGTAAAATAATTAAACTTAAAAAAATATATACTAAAAAAAAATTTGAAATTATAATTATAAAAAAATAAAAAAAATTTTAAGTAGCTATGACAATTAATTTTTTATTAATTTATACTCATTATTATTAAATATATTAATAAGCTTATTAGAAAAATTAGTAATATTGTTATTGTCAAGTACTTCAATTTTATTATTTTTTAATTATTTCTTGCTTCTTGATTATTAATGAACAGAATTTTTATCATTTTCTATATTATTATTAATTAATTTATAAAAATAATAAAAGGTTTTAAAAAATTATAAAAGTTTTTAAAAAATTATATAATATTTTAAGAGTTATATATCAGAATTCCAAAATACAAAATCCTAACATTTAAAATTTTAGTAACAAAATCCCAATACACAAAATTTTGACAAATTAAAATTCTAAAAATATTAAAATTAAGATTTTATAATTTGTCAAGATTTTGTATATTGAAATTTTTTTGCCAGAATTTTGTGTATCAAAATTTTATATGTCAAGATTCTGATATATGGAGGGGAGTCAGTAGAAATAAGACAAATTTATTAGATAAATTTGTCACATTTCTACTGACTCCCCCCATATAACCATTTTAAAATCTTTCCAAAATTTATAATCTAAAATTGTAGTTTTTATATCATTATTTATTTCAATATCTTTAGTCAAAATAGCATACAATGCATATTGAGCTTGCAAAACATGATCAAGATATTCAAAGGTTGATATCTATCATATATCAATAGTTTGTTCTACTTCAATATTAAATATTTCTTTTTCTAAACAATAAAGTGTAGCTAATAGAATTAAATAATTATGAAAAAAAGAACCAATTCTTTGTTTTTTTTTAAAAATTTGAGCTATCTATACATTTTTGAAAATATTATTAATCCAGATATTTATTCCATGTGCCCAGCATCCAAAAAAAACTTTACTTAGATATTTAGTTTTTAATATATTCCATGTAGCCTTCATATTGCTTGTATTATTTGTAATAATTCCAACATATTTGTCAATTCTAGTTTCTTGCATTATATTGTTAATTCTTTTAGCAATATTCTTAGCTATGTGATGTTCTTCATTAGTGTAATCAGACTTATAGAAAATAGGCACATATGTAGTTATCATATAATTTGTTACAGATGATTTATTGACATTTAACCAACTATCACTAACTAAGCAATGATAATATGCATTCTCAAAAATATTTCAAACAACCATTTGCAAATTAGCATGTTCTTGTTAAGAAATAAACTTAAAAGAGTTTGGCATAATAGAATTCTAAAAGAAGGACAAGCCTTACTAAGAAAAGCACAAAACTCTAGATTTTCAATTGTATTAAATGCAATTCCTGATGTAAAAAAGGCATGGGCAAGTAAAGATTCCAATTCTATTTGCTTTTCTTGCTTTAAATTATCTAATATGTATTTTTGCTTTTTATTAGAATTAGAAGTTTCATTTAAGTTTTGCAAAGTGCAAGTATTCAAATGTTCCTGTAACCAAGTTGCATTTTTTGCCCAATCTCTACCACACCCTTTGCACTTGTAACATTCTTTCCCATTTTCATCAATTTGCATTGTGTAGCAATCCTAGGGATGGAAAAACAACTTTTAAACAGTTTTTTAGATGGTTTAAAACTTTTTAAAAAACTTTTTAAAACATTGGCGCTGAGACTAAAAATTAAAATTTAGGCCAAAATGTCAATTTCATAGAGATAACTTTTAAAAAAAATATATTTACTTTATAAACTTTCATTAATATATAATTACAAGTAATGTGCAATTGTTTAACTATATATATATATAGATATATATATATATATATTTCCTTTAATATAATTTAATACATAATTATAAAGTCAATTATCAGTTATCATCGTCTTCGAACCGACCATCAATCTCAATTCTTTTTTGAATTCTCAA